CATTGTGTATGAAACGGTGTGTATTGACGGTTGGACTCGATGATCTTAGAGGTCTCTTCCAACCTTAATGATTCTATGATTCTAAAAAGCCCTTAAAAATCTAAGGTGGTGGCAGTTTGACATTGTGGGTGTCAAAATCTCATTTTTTGTGCAATCTAGTGAAAAATCTTGCATGGATTAACTTTCTTCTGCAAACACAGCATTAAAATGGAAAACAACAAAAGTCAGCTCCAATCCTTCCACCAGAACCATGACACAGTCAGGAAGACTTTCTGGGATTAGGTTCCAACAATGGTCTGAGTGAACCTGAAGGAAGGAGCATCTCACAGATGAGGAAAGGCTGAGAGAGCTGGGACTGTTCAGCCTGGAGAAATGAAGGCTCAGCGGGGATCTCATCAGTGTGTGTAAATACCTGAACGGAGAGTGCAAAGAAGGCAGAGCCAGGCTCTTTTCCATGGTGCCCAGTGACACGACCAGAGGCAAAGGGCACAAACTGAAACACAGGAGGTTCCCTTCGAACATCAGGAAACACTTTTTCACTGTGAGGGTGACCAAGCACTGGCACAGGTTGCCCAGGGGGGTTGTAGGGTCTCCATCCCTGGCGCTATTCAAAAGCCGTCTGGATATGGTCCCGGGAAACTGGCTCTAGCTGGCCTGCCCACGGCAGGGGGGTTGGACCAAATGACCTTTAGAGGTCCCTTCCAACCCAAACCATTCCAATTTTTTTTTTTAATTAATCAGAATGGACATTTAGTATTAGCACTTAATATTTGAAGTGCAAAAGTAATGTGTTTGTTTTTTTTTTTTTAAAGCAACCTTCATAAATAGGAGAAAAATAATAGTTTTAGTTCTCATCTTTGGAGTTACGTATATTTTGAAAGTTTTCCTAGCACTTGTTCTTAAAAGTTTACAAATGCTCAGCAACATGCATTTCTATTTTGAATGTTTCTTTGATTGTTTTTTTTAAGAACTGTTTGATATTTTTTACACAATTAAAACATTAACGTGTCTGCAATCCCTAATGAAAAATGTGTTTGTTCAAGTAATAAACCAGTCTGTCAACAGAGATACAAATATTAAAACAGGGAAATGAATTGAGTAAACCTCTGACAAGAAATCTGTTGAGTACTTCGCTCACCTCGGATATGAGTTCAGCAAGCACTAGGATATGTACTGTCTGATGAGGAAAAATGGAAAGAACTGTGGTTTGGACTATGTGTAATATTCTATGCTTTTGAATATTTCCTCTTTAAAATTCCTTGGATACATAACTTTGAAGTTAATTAGAAGGCTTTGTTCAATGAAACCTTAGTTTATTTCAATGCTAGCTTTTCAAAATAGTTTAGTGTCTTAGTTTGACAGAAGTCACAAGCTGCTGTCCTCTAATACAGAATTGCTGGAAAATCTGGAAGCATTCAGAAAGAGCATCTCCAGACAGAGATTCTCTGGCCCCTTTTTATGATAGTGACTGTGGAGTTCATCAGTTCCTCTCTGACTTGCTAGTAAATAAGGTATTTTTGGAAAGATGCTGACACTTCGCTTTGAAAGCTTTCTCGTAGTCCCTCAAACCGTGCCTGGTTTGTGTGGTCTCATGGATGCGTTCGGTTGTTCGGTTGCCTGTTGTGGCATCCTTCCTACTACCTTGCTCCTGGCAGATTTATTTTTTTCTCCTGAGTGTGCTACTGTAGCTCTTGCTTTCTCCTGCAATTGTTCCAAAATGTACATAGCCTCTCTTAACTCTGTTAGGAAAGGAAAAAAGGAAACAATATTTCTGTATGTTTTATGTTTTTCTCTGTTCTCTGTGGTAATACAGGTTATTGCCTGATGAGGAAAGCTCAGTATAACTACCTTTTTATTTGGGTGGTATTTTTTTTGTTTTGTTTTTTGAGGATTTTTTTGAAACTGGATATTTATTTATACAAACAAGGCTTTCTCTTTGCGTTCTGCTTCAGGTCTTGTGCACGCAGCCCTGTGGAAAGCATTATGAGCAGAGTGAAAGAAATAGGTGAGACGTTCTGTCGCAGCTACACTCAGTCAACAGATGAACAGCCAGGATCTCATATAGGTATGGACGTGAAACGCATGGGATGTTTCAAAATATTAAACCATATGTATGCAAATGAAATGCATACGTATACTATAGTCTAAGTATTTAATACAGTGGAGCTTTTTTTAACCCAGAACATATCCAAACAGAAAACTGTTGCTGTCAAACAGAACACTGTAAAGAATGAAACTTTATTACAGAGTAATACTAAGTTTGCAGTTCAAAATGGGATAGCTAAGAGAGCATTGAAACCATAGCGGCTCTTAAAAATTGTAAACTTGCATTCTTCTTAGATTTAAAATTTAAAGAAAACGGAATACAAATAGGAAAATTATTATTGCAACTGTCTGCAAAATTCCATCACTTAGAAATATTGAAATACATAATCCTTTAAAACATTTCTAGAATTTCGTGCTGTTCTTGTGACTAGTGGATTTCTGAACATACTTTTTTGATTTGCAAAGTCTATACATACACATATATGCACTATTTTCTTAGAGAAGGACAAGTACTGGTCAATTTAGTCTTAAGACCATTTGTGCAGACGGCATTGGAGTTCATCTCTGTTGGTTTTGAATTTCAGATTTTGCTGTAAACAGATTAAAACTGGCAGAGATCTTGTACTATAAAATCTTGGAGACTATAGTGGTGCAAGAAACACGAAGACTACATGGGAAGGATCTGACTGTAAGTAAAGAACTGGCACAAGAGGAGAACACTTCTTGTAACCCTCTGTAGGGGGTTATCTTCAGGCAGTTCCAGAACGGAGCAGTCTGCAGTAATGCAGTCTGTGTATATTGTTAATATTAAAAAAGGGGAAATATACAGGAGGTGCCTAAATGTAGTTTTTACTGCTATTAAAAATGGTATAATTCTGGTATAACTAACCACTCTCCACCTGAGAGTGCTGAGGGAGCTGGCGGAGGAGCTTGCCAAGCCACTCTCCACCATTTACCAGCAGTCCTGATAACTCCCCC